CCGTGCTCAATACCAACCTGAACTACTCCTCAATCCTGCTTACTTCCAACCCTGCACAATATCAGCCTGAATTACTCCTCAATCCTGCTTACTACCAACCCTGCTCAATACCAGCCTGAACTACTCCTCAATCCTGCTTACTACCAACCCTGCTCAATACCAGCCTGAACTACTCCTCAATCCTGCTTACTACCAACCCTGCTCAATGCTGGCCTGAACTACTCCTCAATCCTGCTTACTTCCAAACCTGCTCAATACCAGCCTGAACTACTCCTCAATCCTGCTTACTTCCAACCCTGCTCTATACCAGCCTGAACTACTCCTCAATCCTGCTTACTTCTAACCTCGCTCAATACCAGCCTGAACTTCTCCTCAATCCTGCTTACTACCAAACCTGCTCAATACCAGCCTGAATTACTCCTCAATCCTGCTTACTACCAACCCTGCTCAATACCAGCCTGAATTACTCCTCAATCCTGCTTACTACCAACCCTGCTCAATACCATCCTGAACTACTCCTCAATGCTGCTTACTTCAACCCTGCTCAATACCAGCCTGAACTTCTCCTCAATCCTGCTTACTACCAACCCTGCTCAATACCAACCTGAACTACTCCTCAATCCTGCTTACTACCAAACCTGCTCAATACCGGCCTGAATTACTCCTCAATCCTGCTTACTACCAACCCTGCTCAATACCAGCCTGAATTACTCCTCAATCCTGCTTACTACCAACCCTGCTCAATACCATCCTGAACTACTCCTCAATGCTGCTTACTTCAACCCTGCTCAATACCAGCCTGAACTTCTCCTCAATCCTGCTTACTACCAACCCTGCTCAATACCAACCTGAACTACTCCTCAATCCTGCTTACTAACAACCCTGCACAATATCAGCCTGAACTACTCCTCAATGCTGCTTACTTCCAACCCTGCTCAATACCATCTTGAATTACTGCTCAATCCTGCTTACTTCCAATCTGCTCAATACCAGCCTGATCTACTCCTCAATCCTGCTTACTACCAACCCTGCTCAATACCAGCCTGAACTACGCTTTATCTCACTCACCTGATTTCTACCAGCCTCATCCATACAACTTGTCTTCTCCATACCTACCTGCATAACACCAATCTGGACTCTGTCTCACAGTAATATTATTTGGTGTTATTTTCCTGCTTTATCAATACTCCTACTAATTGGGGGTTGATTAACTAGATTTCTCCTTTACTGTAATCCTGCAGCCTATTTGTTCTGTTCTGTTTTATTTGTCCTATTTTAACCTATACTTTTATCTATAGGCTTTCCTATTATTTACTTTCATTCAGGTTTATAATCTATTTAGGGCATATTGCCTACGGCCCTTTATTTCTGTTTTATCTCTATCTTTCCTTTAATTTCTATTATAGGATATCCTTTTCATACTATGTCTATGAGACTGAAGTCAACCCTGTGTGTGTGTGTGTGTGTGTGTGTGTGTATCTCCGTGAGAGAGACTGTGTATTAGGGAAAGTGTGTGTAATAGTGAGAGAGGCTGTGTGTCTCTGTGAGAGTGTGTGTATATATTAGTGAGAGACTGTGTAAATGACTGTATTAGGGAATGTGTGTGTAATAGTGAGAGAGACCGTGTGACTCCGTGAGAGTGTGTGTATTAGTGAGTCTGTGTGGATGTATTAGTGAGAGAGTTTGTGTGTATTAGTGAGGGACTGTGTAAATTACATTGTGTGTATCTCAGTGAGTGTGTGTAATAGTGAGAGATAGTGTTTGTATTAGTGAGAGTCTTTGTAAGTGACATTGTGTGTCTCAGTGAGGGAGACTGTGTAAATGACTGTGTGCATAATAGTGAGAGAGTCTGACTGTCTCAGTGAGCGTGGTTGTGTGTCTCAGTGAGAGTGAGTGTGTGTCTGTGTATTAGTGAGTCTGTGTGTCTCCGTGTGTGTATTAGTGAGAGAGTATGAAAGTGATATTGTGTATGTTTCAGTAAAAGTGTGTGTTAGTGAGAGTCTGTGTAAATGACTGTGTGTGTGTGTTAGTGAGAGAGAGTGCGTTAGTGAGTCTGTGTAAGTGACACTGTGTGTGTCTCAGAGTGAGTGTGTTAAATGTGTGTCCATCCCTTATATATTGTATTTATAATACATTTAGCAATTAAATGTCACGTTTGTGTCAATTTAGATGGGCAACACTATACAGTAGGGTCTCATTTTCTAAACAGAAGAACCTGCGTCAAGAACCTGATGCAAACAGCCTTCCATCATCACAATGCCAATGTAGACCCAGTGCCCCAGCCATGTTATCCTTTCACTGTCTGACAATCTGCTTGCTGACTGTCCTTGTTGGCATACTTATTGTAGCGGATCTCTGCCTACTAAGCCCAGTAAGGACTAGTAATAGACTGCTTTCATTTCTCATACTTTGGTATAGATCACACTAAAGCTCTGTGTGGTGGGTTATTCTACTTTCCTTGACTGGGGGGTGAGTAAGAATATCTAAATTGCTTTATTCAACACCAAGGAGCTATGATTAAACATGTCAATTAGGAACAATATGGGAATCAATAAATTGGAAGTGGGTTTGATATTCATATGGTGATATATTGGCCTGATATTCATGCTGGTTTTTTTTCTTCTTCTTCAATTATCTTTTGTTTTGCTTTAAAAATAATATTTTGCAGCTTTCTACAACATAACCCCCATAGTCAATCACCTTTCAGTATAGTATTTCATAGCCATTGTAACGGATCACCTCTGTTGAAGGCTGCTCCTAGCACTTCCTGAGGGCTCCAAGCACTCCAGTGACACCATAACCACCGTAGACTCCTTCAGAGAGCAGGACAGGAACAAGCTCAGTGATTATAGCAAGGGAATATGCAGAGCCAGGACTCAGATTGAGGGTGATGTAGAACTGACTGTACTGGCACATACAGCCTCTTTTATTCACATTCTACAAACATAGTACTGCCCACAGGGTTTTGCAGAACAACCAATCAATACGTACAATACACACAGACACTCCCACAAAAAATCCTCCCCTCTGCCTGTGATATGATTACTGAACACAATGGATAATATAATTATAACAGGCAGAGAAATACAGTATTATAAAACATATCACAGGGACCCCAAAACATGCAATAACCCCATAAAAGTATATCCTCAGAACCGGGGGATCTGGGTGAACCACATATCCAAAATTCACCCAGATCCGTTCAGTAGTTTGGAAGATACCGTTTAATGCAGATTCTGCAGAACATATACAGGCTATATGAAAAATAATTACTGCATAATGTGTCCCCTGTTGTATAGTTTAAAACTACTGCACTAAAATCAAGTATGCCCACATCAGTTCCTAGAAGGGCAATACATCCCAGGGCCATAGTCGCAGGGCTGGAGGCTGGGAAACAGGCCCCTCCAAAAACCAGTGGCAAGGTTACTTTCGCCACAGCCATACTAAGAGTTTGTGTGTATTAGTGAGAGAGACTGTGACATTGTGTGTCTATTAGTGAGTCAGTGTGTGTATATTAGTGAGAGGGACTGTAAGTGACATTGTGTGTGTCTCACTGAGGGTATATGTATTAGTGAGAGAGACTGTAAGGGACATTGTGTGTGTCTCACTGAGGGTGTGTATATTAGTGAGAGGGACTGTAAGTGACATTGTGTGTGTCTCACTGTAAGTGACATTGTGTGTGTCTCACTGAGGGTGTATTAGTGAGAGAGACTGTAAGGGACATTGTGTGTGTCTCACTGAGGGTGTGTATATTAGTGAGAGGGACTGTAAGTGACATTGTGTGTGTCTCACTGAGGGTATATGTATTAGTGAGAGAGACTGTAAGGGACATTGTGTGTGTCTCACTGAGGGTGTGTATATTAGTGAGAGGGACTGTAAGTGACATTGTGTGTGTCTCACTGAGGGTATGTGTATTAGTGAGAGAGACTGTAAGGGACATTGTGTGTGTATGAGTGAGAGAGACTAAGGGACATTGTGTGTGCCTCACTGAGGGTGTGTGGATTAGTGAGAGAGACTGTAAGGGACATTGTGTGTGTCACACTGAGGGTGTGTGGATTAGTGAGAGAGACTGTAAGGGACATTGTGTGTGTCTCACTGAGGGTATGTGTATTAGTGAGAGAGACTGTAAGGGACATTGTGTGTGTCTCACTGAGGGTGTGTATTAGTGAGAGAGACTGACATTGTGTGTCTCAGTGAGAGTGTGTGTATTCGTTGGAGAGTCTGTGTAATCATTGGGTGATCTAAATTTGTACTCAAAGTACATCAACTAAGGAAGTTGCTTTGTGAAAAGAGAGAGTGTGGTTAAGGGCTGTGTACTGCAAAAATGCTATTCATTTACCATATCTACCAACAATCCTGCATTTGACAGAACAAGCTGACAAACACGAACAGCCAAAGTCTTTTTACCGCTTTATTTTAAGATTATGAGATACATTACAACAGTGTACTCCGAGTGCATGTCCGGTAGGGGGCACTTGTTTTCAGTAATTATGTGCGTTTTTGGTGTTTAATTGGTCTGTTTGAGAGATAAGTACCAGGAGCCTTGGCCAGTGTCCACTGTAGTCCGGGCAGATTTAATAGCTAATCTGCAGAACCCATTATAGAAGCTGTAAAACTCAGTGTCTGTGTGTGAGGATGGACAGGAAGAGGATGTGATCACTCCCCATCTGCCCAGTAATAGCCTCTCACACATGAAATAAATTGCATGATAAGCAGGGACAGCACTGACTGATACACGCTGTATATCATGGGACAGTACTGAGTGATACACTGTATACCATAGGACAGCACTGAGTGATACACACTGTATATCATAGGACAGCACTGAGTGATACACACGCTGTATATCATAGGACAGCACTGAGTGATACACACGCTGTATATCATAGGACAGCACTGAGTGATACACACGCTGTATATCATAGGACAGCACTGAGTGATACACACTGTATATCATAGGACAACACTGAGTGATACACACTGTATATCATAGGACAGCACTGAGTGACACACGCTGTATATCATAGGACAGCACTGAGTGATACACACTGTATATCATAGGACAGCACTGAGTGATACACACTGTATATCATAGGACAGCACTGAGTGACACACACTGTATATCATAGGACAGCACTGAGTGATACACACTGTATATCATAGGACAGCACTGAGTGATACACACTGTATATCATAGGACAGCACTGAGTGATACACACTGTATATCATAGGACAGCACTGAGTGATACACACTGTATATCATAGGACAGCACTGAGTGATACACACTGTATATCATAGGACAGCACTGAGTGATACACTGTATATCATAGGACAGCACTGAGTGATACACACTGTATATCATAGGACAGCACTGAGTGATACACTGTATATCATAGGACAGCACTGAGTGACACACACTGTATATCATAGGACAGCACTGAGTGATACACACTGTATATCATAGGACAGCACTGAGTGATACATATATCATAGGGCTGATACACACACTGTATATCATAGGAGAGCACTGAGTGATACACACTGTATATCATAGGACAGCACTGAGTGATACACACTGTATATCATAGGACAGCACTGAGTGATACACTGTATATCATAGGACAGCACTGAGTGATACACACTGTATATAATAGAACAGCACTGAGTGATACACACTGTATATCATAGGACAGCACTGAGTGATACACTGTATATCATAGGATAGCACTGAGTGATACACCGTATATCATAGACAGCACTGAGCGATACACACTGAGTATATCATAGGACACTGCATATGCATAGGACAGCACTGAGTGATACACACACTGTATCACATAGGACAGCACTGAGTGATACACCTGTATATCATAGGGCAGCACTGAGTGATACACACTGTATATCATAGGACAGCACTGAGTGACACTGTAGGACAGCACTGAGTGATACACTGTATATCATAGGGCAGCACTGAGCATACACACTGTATATCATAGGACAGCACTGAGTATACACACTGTATACAGGACAGCACTGAGTGACACACGCTGTATATCATAGACAGCTGAGTGATACACTGTATATCATAGGACAGCACTGAGTGATACACACTGTATATCATAGGATAGCACTGAGTGATACACTGTATATCATAGGCCAGCACTGAGCGATACACACTGTATATCATAGGGCAGCACTGAGCGATACACACTGTATATCATAGGACAGCACTGAGTGACACACACTGTATTTAATAGGACAGCACTGAGTGATACACTGTATATCATAGGGCAGCACTGAGCGATACACACTGTATTTAATAGGACAGCACTGAGTGACACACGCTGTATATCATAGGACAGCACTGAGTGATACACACTGTATATCATAGGGCAGCACTGAGCGATACACACTGTATTTAATAGGACAGCACTGAGTGATACACACTGTATATCATAGGACAGCACTGAGTGATACACTGTATATCATAGGACAGCACTGAGTGATACACACTGTATATCATAGGACAGCACTGAGTGATACATACTGTATATCATAGGACAGCACTAAGTGACACACTGTATATCATAGGGCAGCACTGAGCGATACACACTGTATATCATAGGACAGCACTGAGTGACACACACTGTATTTAATAGGACAGCACTGAGTGATACACACTGTATATCATAGGACAGCACTGAGTGATACACACTGTATATCATAGGGCAGCACTGAGCGATACACACTGTATTTAATAGGACAGCACTGAGTGATACACACTGTATATCATAGGACAGCACTGAGTGATACACACTGTATTTAATAGGACAGCACTGAGCGATACACACTGTATTTAATAGGACAGCACTGAGCGATACACACTGTATATCATAGGGCAGCACTGAGTGATACACACTGTATATCATAGGGCAGCACTGAGCGATACACACTGTATTTAATAGGACAGCACTGAGCGATACACACTGTATTTAATAGGACAGCACTGAGCGATACATGCATTAAACAGTTTTTAATGTTTGAATTCTAACCAAGAGTCCCTAGCAGCTCATGACCTTTGTGATTGGCTGAGAGTTTCACCTGACTGCTTTTAGCCTATCAGAGCTCCATCAAATGGTATGAATGAGTATGACAACAACAAAGTGTGTAATCTCTGTATTAGCCACACCTCCAGAGGGCCCAGACTGTGGGTGGTCAGGGACCCTTATTTAGTTTTAAATTGCTCGAATGTGTTTTAACACTGACGGGAGGGACAGTGCCAGGGGACTCCAAGCACTATAATCAATGCAAAGAGATGAACTGGTTATAGTGACAACAGTGTTCATTTAAGTAATACATTCTGAAAACGTGTAGTATTCATTACCGAAATGCTGCACATACAGACTTCAGGGCAATCACACGTGGCCATGGCTCTTTGAAAATCCCTTTATGCTCTCAAAGCTTAAGCTAAAGTAAAACTATTTGCCTGAATCCTAAATGTAACTCTTTAAACTAAACACACCACTTTCCCCAATACTAAATTTAACCACACTCTAACCTTAAACACAGTAATCCTTAAAGGGACACTATAGTCACCAGAACAACTACAGCTTATTTTATAAGACACAGATCATTTTATAGGATACAGCTTATTGAATTTGTTCTGTTGAGTAGAATCATTCCCTTCAGGCTTTTTGCTGTCAACGCTGTCTTTTCAGATAAAATGCAGTGTTTACATTACATCCTAGTGATAACTTCACTGGCCACTCCTCAGATGGCTGTTAGAGATGCTTCCTGGGTCATGGCTGCCTAAAATGCATCCAAACATTCAGTGTCTCCTCCCTCTGCATGCAGACACTGAACTTTCCTCATAGAGATTCATTGATTCAATGTATCTCTATGAGGAGATGCTGATTGGCCAGGGCTGTGTTTGAATCATGCTGGCTCTGCCCCTGATCGGCCTCCTTGTCAGTCTCAGCCAATCCTATGGGGAAGCACTGTGATTGGATCAGGCCACCACTTCTGATGATGTCAGCAGACTGCTTGTTTTTCTGAGTCTAACAGCATGCAGAGTTACAGCTTCAGGCTTGAATACAGTAAGATTTGTACTATATTTATGGAGGCATGAGGGGCCCAGGGGGGCTAGATGGTGGGTTTAACACTATAGGGTCAGGAGTACAGGTTTGTGTTCCTGACCCAATAGTGATCCTTTAACACAATAGCTGTACACCCTCTAAAGCTGTAATCTAATTAACCCCACTCTAACCTTAACACTGTATGTGCCATGAATACAAAGCTGTATTCCTGGCACTATAGCTCCCTCGGGTGTATTGTGGGATAGAGAGAGTTACTCTCAGCTACAGGAATGAAATTTGTTTAGAATGCATTACCAGATTCTTTTATGGTTTCCCTTTGAATTTTCAACACATCAGTGTTCTGCTTAATACATGTCGATGAGTATTTCTTATTTTTATAGCACCCTCATACTCTGCAGGACTGACTCCTCGCAAATGTTTTAATATAGTCTGATTTTGGGAACTCTGCCTACGCAATTAACCATTTCCATTAAAGGATAGGAGAGGAGTGTGAGGGAGTCACAGATCGCTCCTGGTATGAAGGACAGGAGATGAGTGTGAGGGAGTCACAGATCGCTCCTGGTATGAAGGACAGGAGATGAGTGTGAGGGAGTCACAGATCGCTCCTGGTATGAAGGACAGGAGAGGAGTGTGAGGGAGTCACAGATCGCTCCTGGTATGAAGGACAGGAGATGAGTGTGAGGGAGTCACAGATCGCTCCTGGTATGAAGGACAGGAGATGAGTGTGAGGGAGTCACAGATCGCTCCTGGTTTGAAAGACGAGTGTGAGGGAATTATAGATCTCTCCTGGTTTGCAGGACAGATGCACATGTTAGCAGCAGATTAAAGCTCAGTGCTTTCAGCGTCATGATCCTCAGTGTCAGAAGCTGCAGGAAATCCCATCTCAGGTGGAGAGCTACAAGAGGTGAGAACAGAGAAATGTTAAGAACTTTCTAAACAGGTAGTTTATGGAAAATATTGACTTGAATTTTATTCTAAGCAAAGAGGCTCCTGTTATCTCTTCCTACACCATACCTCCCAGCAATCCTGCATTTGGCAGAACAGTCACAATTTCGGGGGAACTTTCTCACCACACTGCCTCTGGATTCTGGTGTCCTGTTTCGGGGGACACTAATGACAGAGTCCCCAGAAAGTGCAGCGTCAGAGAATTATTAGATGAGCTCACTCTGAACAAACTCCACTCAGGTTATATATTAAATCAGGCACAACATTAAAACCATCTACCTAATATTGTGTAGGTCCCCTTCGTGCTGCCAAAGCAGCTCTGATGAGTTGAGATACAGACTCCAAAATACCTCTGCATGTGTTCTGTTATCTGGCACCAAGACATTAGCAGCAGATCCTTTAAGTCCTGCAAGTTGTGAGGTGACCTGCGTATAAGGCCAGTTGTGGTTGCCCATAAACGTATTCCAGCTTGTACTCCCAGAACTATGTTGTCTGGTTACTGGGAGGGTAAAGGGCTACTCTTTAATCACTGTTCCAGTGTGGAGGATTCAATGGGGAAAGTCCTTGTAAGGACTAGAGCTCCCAGGACCAAGTGCCATCTAGTGCCTGGGGGTGTCTAGAGCGAATTCCTCATTCGGCTACAGGAGGGAGTGGTTCCAGGACCCCAGTCAAGGCACAGCAACTGTGGGCAGAAGTCCTGCAGTTTGTCCCCTGTTCCAGCTAGGACGATGTCCTTGGCGGAGGTACCCAGCCAGGGGTACAGTCATGCTCCTCAAACCATTCCTTAACATTTTTTGCAATGTAGCAGGGTGCATTATCTTGCTGAAAGTATCCACTGCCATCAGGGAACACCATTGCCATGAAGGGGTGTAAGTGGACTGCAACAATCTCTGTAGGTGGTACATGTCAGAGTAACATCCACATACATGCCAGGACCCACAGGTTCCCAGCAAAATATTGCTCAGAAACCTTCTTTGGTTGGCCTGCTTTCTTCCCATAGGGCACCCTGCTGCCATCCTTTCCTCAGTTAAATGAGGCACATTGCTGCCCCCCCCCCCCTGGATTTTTCAGCTTGTTCTGCTATTTTTCATGAGATTTAAAATGATGGGGATGCGGGAGCAGAGACAGCCTACAGATCAGGGGAGTGAGGGATGGGGGGCAGAGACAGCCTACAGATCAGGGGAGTGAGGGATGGGGGGCCAGAGACAGCCTACAGATCAGGGGAGTGAGGGATGGAGGGCAGAGACAGCCTACAGATCAGGGGAGTGAGGGATGGGGGGCAGAGACAGCCTACAGATCAGGGGAGTGAGGGATGGGGGGCCAGAGACAGCCTACAGATCAGGGGAGTGAGGGATGGAGGGCAGAGACAGCCTATAGATCAGGGGAGTGAGGGAT